AAGCGGAAAAATAATACCCAAAATTGATAACGAAGTTCAGCCAATTGTGCTTACGTCTCTGGACTGCTGCAATCTTTTACTAAGAGAGAAAATTTACAGGTGTTTACAAAACACTCACTACTCACAAGAAAGCTTTCTAGTATTGGGAGAAAGAAATGATTTTTGGGATGTGGGATGATTTTGAAGCTAAATGAGCTAGGGTATTTATAGTTGAAACTTAGGGACTAATTTGAAAATACCCTAAAGTGCAATGACTAAAGTGAATTTTCCCATTCCTATTTTCAACAAACATCTACCAAACTTTACCAAACTTTGAAAAATATTTTTCAAAGAAACATTTACCAAACTTTGAAAAACATTTTTCAAAGTTGGTTGCCAAACTTTGAACTAACTTTTAACAATCTCCCACTTGAAGATTGATTTTAATCTGTCTTCACACCTCGATCAATGCAGCAGTATTTCTAGTCTTGTTATTCTAGCACGTCAACTGAAGCTGAACACAACTTCAGTTTGTCCGTAGTCACCGTCTTTGTCAACATGTCTGCCGGATTTTGAGCTCCACTAATCTTTTCAAGTTTCAAAATCCCATCTTCCAGAAGAGATCGGATAAAATGATATCTCAATTGTATGTGCTTGTCCTGGAATGAAAAGACGGATTCTTTGCTAGATGGATAGCACTTTGACTATCGCAATACAAGACATTGTTTTCTTGTTTCTTGCCTAACTCTTCCAAGAAACTTTGGAGCCAAACCATCTCCTTGCTAGCTTCCGTAACAGCGACATATTCTACTTCAGTTGTGGAGAGAGCAACTAACTTCTGTAGTTGAGAAACCCAACTCACTGTAGTTCCTCCTAGAGTATAGACATACCCTGTAGTGCTCCTTCTGATGTCAATATTTCTGGCTAAGTCAGTATCTACATAGCCTGTTAGTATCGTATCTCCACCTTTGAAACAAAGTGCTTTGTTTGTAGTACCCTACAGATATATGAGGATCCATTTAACTGCTTCCCAGTGTACCTTGCCCGGATTATTCATGTACCTGCTAACAGCTCCCACTGCTTGAGCAATATCTAATCTGGTACAAACCATGACATACATTAGACTTCCAATTGCTCAAGATATAAATTCTCTGCAGCTACAATTTTCAATACTAGTCTGATTATAGACACTTCACGACTGGAGAGAAAATTTCATTGTAGTCAATACCTTCTTTTTGTTGAAAACCTTTGACAACCAATCTCTTTTGTAGCGTTTGCTCCCATCGTGCTCTTCCTTGATCCTATAAATCCACTTGTTGTGGAGCGCTTTCTTGCCTGGTGGTAATTCAGCTAATTCCCACGTCTGATTTGACATAAGAGAGTCCATCTCATCTTTCATGGAAGACTTCCACTTGACTGAATCCTCCACTTGCATTACTTCATCATAGCAATCTGGTTCACCATTGTCAGTCAACAACAAGTAGTGCAAACAAGGAGAATACCGTTGAGTTGGTTTAGGAATTCTGGAGGAGCGTCTTAGTTCCGGTGTGTCTGGTTCTTCTTGAACTGCTTCAGGACTGATCTGAACATCATTTCTAGAAATCTCCTCGAACTCAGCAAATTCCTTTGTTTCAGCTTCGATGTTTGAGCTACTTGATTCTATGGTTGATCTGTCTTTGTACATCACATTCTCATTGAAAATGACATCTCTGCTTCTAATGATCTTCTGATTTTCGTAGTCCCAAAACCGGTAACAACTCATCACCACCATAACCAACAAAGACACATTTGTTGGACTTGGCATCAAGTTTACTTCTTTCAGCAGAGTTTATGTGTACATAAGAAATACAACCAAACACTCTTAAGTGTGAAAGGTTTATTTCTTTCTTGCTCCAAACTTCCTATGGTATTCTGCCATCCAAAGGAACCGAGGGCCCACGGTTGATCAAGTAAGCTGCAGTGTTGATTGCTTCAGCCCATAGAAATTTGGGCAATCCGGCATGTATCCTCATGCTTCTAGCACATTCATTCAGAGTTATGTTCATGCACTCTGCTACGCCATTCTACTGCGGTGTCATGGGAACTGTTGTCTCTATCTTGATCCCATTGTTGCACAGAAATCTCTGAATCTACGATTTCTGTACTCTCCTCCATTGTCAGACCTCAACCGCTTGACTTTCAGACCAGTCTCATTTTCTACCATGGCCTTCCATTTTCTGAAGGTATCAAAGACTTCTGATTTCTTCTTCAGAAAATAAACCCACACCTTCCTTGTAGAATCATCGATGAAGATGACATAATATAATGAGCCTGCAAGAGATGGAACTGGAGATGGTCCCTATACATCAGTATGAACCAACTCTAACTTTTCATCCTTGGTTGTCTTGCCAATCTTTGCAAAATTGACTTTCTTTTGTTTGCCAAAGATGCAATCCTCGCATATTTCGACATCTACATTATTTAGATCCGCAACTTCCCTTTCGAAAAAAGTGTCTTCATCCCTTTCTCGCTCATATGGCCAAGCCTTTGGTCCATAGGTTTGATTTTCCATCAGCATCTGCTGCAGCAATGATATTCTCTAAATTTGAGGTTACATAGAGAGTACCAGTCTTCTTACCACGAGCAATGACGAGTGCTCCTTTGGTGATCTTCCATTCACAGCCTGAAAAAGTTGTGCTATATCCTTCTCCATCAAGCTGTCCTACATAAATCAAATTTCTTTTGAGGCCAAAAATATGTCTCAGTCCTGTCAGCTTCCAGGTAGTCTGGTTTGGCAACTTTAGTCGGATGTCTCCTTTTCCGACGATCTTCAAGGTTTCATCATCAGCTAGATGAACCTTCCCAAAATCACCACTGACATAGTTCTCCATGATTTCTTGGCATGGGGTAGAGTGGAAAGATGCCCATGAATCCAAGATCCATGATTCAATCAGACTGTTGACGCTTAGAATCATGGCATCACCTGTCTCTTCTGTCACGTTGGCAGATTCCTATGCGCTGGTATTTTTCTTCGGTGCTCGTCAATCTCTTTTAAAGTGACCCTTTTTGCCGCAGTTATAACAGGTAAAATCTTTCTTTCCTATTCTGGATTTGGATCTCCACGATTTGAATTTCTTTATGAAGTTCTCCCTCTAGACTCCGTGTGCAAGGCTGAGGAGGTTGATGCTTCACCCGATTCTCTCCGTCGAATTTCTTCACTAAATACAAGATCCCGAACATCGTCGAATTTTAATTTGTTGTTTCCCGACGAGCTGCTGACTGCTGTAACAGTAGCATTCCAACTGTCTGGTAGAGATGATAAGAGAATTAAAGCTGAACTTCATCATCAAATTCAATTTCAACTGAACTCAACTGGGTTGTGATTGTGTTGAGTTCATTTAGGTGTTGTGCCATCGATGCCCCTTCCGTCATCCGCAAATTGAATAATCATCATCAAATGAACTTTGTTTGAGGCGATGGCTTCTCATACATACTGGAGAGAGCCACCATAAGACTCGCCGTGGTCTTTTCCTTTGCTATGTTGAAAGCAACATTGCGAGATAACGTCAGTCGGATAACTCCGAGGGCTTGTCTGTCGAGAAGAGCCCAGTCTTCATTCTTCATGCCCTCTGGTTGCTTTCCTAAGAGAGGTTGATATAGATTTTTCTGGTACAAAAAATCTTCAATCTGCATCTTCCAAAAGCCAAAGTCCGCACCATCGAACTTTTCAATTTTCACCTTCCCTTCGTCTGCAGCCATCGCTCCCACTCGAATCTGGCTTCGTTTAGATCGTTTCTGACAATTTTTGCGAACCACCGTGTATTAGAACACCTCCGTCGACAAATTAGTATCGCCGACAAATTTTTACTATTCACAAAATTCACTATTCATGTGAATAGTAATGAATAGTAACCTCGCAAAAATTGACAAAATTTACAACCAAAAGCTCTGATTACCAGTTGTTGGGAAATAAACGAGTAAACAAGTAATTTCCCTATACCCAGATTAGTGAGAATACAAAATAAAAGCGGAAAATAATACCCGAAATTGATAATGGAGTTCAGCCAATTGTGCTTACGTCTCCGGACTGCTGCAGATCTTTTACTAGGAGAGAAAATTTACAGGTGTTTACAAAACACTCACTACTCACAAGAAAGCTCTCTAGTATTGGGAGAAAGAAATGATTTTTGGGATGTGGGATGATTTTGAAGCTAAATGGCTAGGGTATTTATAGTTGAAACTTAGGAATAATCTTTGAAAATACCCTAAAGTGCAATGACTAAAGTGAATTTACCCATTCCTATTTTCAACAAACATCTACCAAACTTTACCAAACTTTAAAAAACATTTTCAAAGAAACATTTACCAAACTTTGAAAAACATTTTTCAAAGTTGGTTGTCAAACTTTGAACTAACTTTTAACAACGAACTCAAGTTCTCCAAGGCAGGACATGAACCTGCAAATAAAAACCATATTTCATATCATCACAAACAATTCAACCTTAATATCATTTAAAATAAGTAATAATTAATGATTGTGGTACAAACAACTCCAACTTAATTATGACTATAAAATGTAATAAGTGAAATACTTCACTCTATCAGCTTCAATACTGTTTTTGCATTAATGGTTTTAAACAAGTTCCATTAGGGATAATAATTTATAATATTATAATATACATAATATATAAATATTATATATTCCATATAAAAATCGATTCTAAATTGCATCCAATAGGATTTGAACCTATACCAAAAGTTTAAAAGATCTCTGTCCTATCCTTTAGACAATAAACACTTTTCTTTACGTTTATTTTACGTTTTGACTTTTTTTTTCTTCTTTTGTTCGGTTTTTTCTTTTCTCTTGTTCAGAGAAACTAAAGAACATGAGAAAATAATTTAGGAATTGCATATTTATTAATTAAATTCAACGATGATAATGCATCATTGAATTGAATTAATAAATATTCAAATATATAGAATTTGATTATCAAGCGGGTAGTGGGAATCGAACCCGCATCATTAGCTTGTAAGGCTAGGGGTTATAATCGACGTTGATTCATTATTTTTAACATCTCTAATTGAGACGCCATCCAAGCACGAATACCATCGTTTAAAACAATATTTTTGGTGTAGACAGTCTTAAAATCAAGATCTTCCGCTGCACGGATTTCCTGGGAAACGAAGTCATGGGCACGTAGGTTAAGAGCCAGACCAACTACTCCAAGAGCACTCATCCATAAGCCGGTTACTGGTACAAATAACATAAAGAAATGTAACCAACGTTTAATGGAAAAAGCAACCCAAAAGATTTGGGACCAAAAGCGGTTAGCGGTGACCATTGAATAAGTTTCTTCGGCTTGAGTTGGGTTAAAAGCACGAAATGTATTTGCACCATCACCATCTCCATAAGCCGGTAATGTATTTGCATTACCCATTCCATCCCCAACACTTACATGTATGGTTTTGGGGAATCCCATTACATGGTTCGTGGATTTTTTTGTCCCTATACCCATCCCATCTCATCCCAAAAAATAAACAAACATTTTTTTAAATCAATGCAACACCTAAAACTTAAAGATATATCAGATTATCTCAAACTGATCTCTAACTATAATATGAAAGTTTCAAACGTCAATATTCATCTAATACCCAATGTATATGTACAATCTTAACTATTTTCAATCTCAACAGATCTATGTATATTAAATGAGAAAAGATCTAAACTTCAATTTTAGTTCGTTTGAGATGTAACAATGGCAACATGTAATCTCATAGATATTTTTCGGGGATCCCCATGATTATTTTTGTAAAATATCGGGGGATCACTACGGTTATTTTTGGGGATCCCCACGGTTATTTACACAGATACTGTTCATTTATCCCCACGGTTCAGATATAGTAATCCCTGTCCCCATCCCCATTTGAGCTTCGGAGATAAAACTCCTCCATCCCCATCCCCGTGGATGAAGATTTCGTTATTTCCCATCCCATCGATTCGGATCCTCACGGTTTTCTTTTTCCCCATCCGATTGCCACCCCCAAGTTCCATGCCATGTCAGGGGAATTTGGCAAAAAATCTTCATTAAGTTATGCGAATTTGTACTTTCGCCGGGGGTCGACAAAGCAGACTTACAAATTCTGTATCTCATTAAATTTTTATGAATATTATTAGTAATACTAAAATTCTGATATCATTATTAAATATAATGTTATAAATAAAATGCTATTTTGGAATTTTTTAATTCATTTTTGGATCTTATTTATTTTATTTTTGAAAATATTTAAATTCTAATTTTTTTTACCCCGATTTAAATCATATTTAACAATGTGGTATTGGGGGCATTTATATTCATCTTTTCTTTTAATAATAACTGCCTAACATTTTCATTGCACTTTTAAGTATTTATCGTTATATTTTTTTAATTAAAAAATTGTAAAAAAAAAAAGACTTCCCCTCCCGTCTTTTGTTCCCCCATTTCCCTCCCCTCTCCCGTCTTGTTCATCCCCTCCCCCTCACCATGCAATCTTCTACAATTCTTCAAATCTTGCAAAAGTCACCTATTGCTAATCATATAACGGCTTAAATAGCTGCAAATCATCTGCAAATTACACCTCCCCTCTCCCGTCTTGTTCAGCCCCTCCCCCTCACTATGCAATCTCCTACAATTCTTCAAATCTTGCAAAAATCATCTATTGCTAATCATATAACGGCTTAAATAGCTGCAAATCATCTGCAAATTACACGATCGACAATAGGTATTGGGATTAGGGGTAGAGATTTAGGGATTAAGGTTTAGAGATTTAAGTTTTAAGATTTACAAATTTAAGGAGATTTTGACGTTGACAAGAGGGACGGTTGGTAGTGAAGGTTCAAAGATAGGTAGATGACCGTTCCTCAACAGTGGTGGTTGGCAATGGAAAATAACGTGTGTTGAAATGAGAACCTTTAAGGTTTTGGGAACTTTTTTAATAATTTCTGAAAATGGATTTTTCATTTAAATTAATAATACTCTTAATCTTTTTAAGAAAAAAATAAAATTTCAAAAAAATGTAAATGACATGTATCACTTAACGCCAAAATTTAAAGGTTGTTACGACTCAAATCCTAAACCTTAAATCCAAACATGTAAAAGTGTAACGTTAGAAATATTAAACACCTATTATTAGTAAAAATTTCCTTAAGTACCAAATCTTATTTTGATGTATAATTTAAGAACTTAAAAAGTGTATTAAGCCTCGTTAAATTGTTAAAGACGATCAAAATAAAAATTTATTAGAAGTGAGAATTAATAAGAGGAAAGAAAAGACGACTGTAAACACCTTTTTATAAAAAAGCCATGTGCCAATTTTGAGGTTTTCTCCGAGTACCACATGCCATTGAAACTATCTAATCCTCTCAGCTCTAACAAGAGTAATTGTCTGAATTCCAAAATTTCATTCTCACCCATCTTTTCCTCCTCTACAATTAACCCAATCATGTTGTGACAATTGGATACAATAATCTCTTCAAGTTGGCAAAACTTTGTGGCTATGGGGAAGAAGAACAAGTTCTTCAACGCATTGCAACTCTCAACCTTTATGATTCTTAGTCGGTCAAAAGATCCAACTTTGAGTTGACGATCACAAATTGCCTCCAAATCAGTCAATCCAGAAAGAGACAGTGACTCAAAACAAGGAACCAACATCATGGAGCTGAGAAGAACTTTAATATCTAAGACATAACGGAAACGAAGATGCTTTAAATCCAGAAATCCTTCGGTAATTGGATCATAAAGCATTTTCCTAACATCTTCCACTTCCTCCAGCCAATGACTTCGAACATTTCTCAACAACAGTGTAATCCCACCATATAAATTAATACTTTTTTTCATCTTAACCTGCAATATCCTTGATGTATTCATCTGTAAACCATCATACAATTCATACCACATTAGATCTCCAATGAAAATCTTGTATCTTTCCAGCTTTCCAAAAAACATATCATCTTTTGGCATGGCTTGCACATCACGGATCTGTACTTCCAAAGTGTTCAGATGAGACAGGCACTGCAACTCAACAAGACTGGCATTGCTTCTTGGATTGTCAATTCCTTCAACCTCCCATCTATCAAAGCTACCATAGAGGTATAGTTCTTCCAAGCTGGACAAACTTGACAAGAAATCTGGTGCTATTACTTCAAGTCTCTTACAATCAATCAAATCTAACAATTTTAACCTGTTTAATTGTCATATTCCTTCGGTAGCATTGCAACTCTAGATTGACAGAGGTCAAGTATTTTTAAATTTTTTAACTCCCCTAAAGAGGCTATATCTTCTAAATCACAATCTATCAAACGCAATAAACAAAGAGTTTTAAGTAACCAATGGAGGAGGGCATGGACGAAAAATGCATCTCGGCAAAATCCAAAACTTTAGTCTTTGCGTTCCCTTAAAAAAGTCACTGGGAATTCTTCAGTACCATGCATAGAGAAAAAGGTAAGAACTGGGCATTCCAACCCATCGGGAAGCTCACTAACCTTAGCAGAGCGTAAGCTAACAAGCTCGCACTTTCTCATTGTGCCCTCATCTGACCACTCTTCATATACATCTTCCTTTGTTAAAACAAGCCAACCGTAGTCCCTAGAAGCAATTGAAATGGCAACATCACGAACAACATCATGCATATCAGATCGGGTTGGGTGAGAACCATCAAGTAACAAACAAGAAGCTTTCAGAATGTTCACTAATGACAACACTTTATCTCGAGTATCTTTCACTCTCTTAACACCATGGAGTAAACCCAAACCCCTAGCATATCTTAACAAATCCTCAATGGCAGCATCATGGCCCATTATGCTACAGAGTAAAAATATTGGCTGAAGTTCCTCATTTTCTAGAAACTTATAGCTCATCTCTATAGCTGAATAAGCTTTCTCTGGTATGCCTTTGAAGTTTGCTTTATAAGGATTGCTTAGCTCTTGCAAGGCGCTCCTCCATTAAAATGAGTTCTGCTTATGTTTCAATGCCTTCGCAATTGTGGCAATAGCTATTGGCAATCCCGCACGTCTTTTAGCAATTTCAACTGCTATAGATTGCAAGTCCAATCTTTCAACAATATTACCAGCCATGTTCTTGAACAGGTTCCATGATTCATCTTCTTTCAATGTTTCAATCGAAACGTTTTGTCAAGTGTCCATAGATTTTAAAACACCGAGACTCCTAGACATCATCAAGATCTTGCATCCCTTATGTTCGTCTGTAGTGGGAACTCCAAGTTCCAGGTTCTCCCATACATCATCCAAGATGATAAGAACATTCTTCTCCGTCTTTAGTCTTTCAAGAAGTCGAGCTGCTCTCACATCCATGCTTGTTTCAACAATTTTGAGGTCTAACTTCTAGACAATCTTGTTCTGAATATCCAGCATGTTTGGTGTCTGTGTTACAGCTACGAAGACCACCTCAGTGAAGGGAAGTTTCTCCTTGGCTTGTAGAGTAACCTCTTTGAGAAGTGTGGTTTTACCGACACCACCCATCCCATACACTAACTTTGTCGACATTACCATCTTCCAACGCCGCCATGACCCCATTAAAAGAGCAACCTCTTTTAATTAATCCTTAGATTTTAAGTGCTTTAGTTATTAATTAAAACCTAAACTTAGTTTAAGTTCATTAATTAGAAATCAATAAGTTTAATAATTTCCTTTAGGATTATTTCCTTAATAATATTAATTATAAACACATAAATATAAATTCATAATTAATTAAAAGGAATATTATTTTATTATTAAATATTGAAAGGGGTGGTCTTAAAATAACTAGACATTCATGTTCAATATTTTTTTTTTGAATAAATGAATATTCTATCAGTGATCAGCCCAAAAATTGAATAGGTTCACTAATTTTAAATATAAGGGTAGATGTTTGTTCCTATATTTAAATTGCTAAGGACGAGTTGTTTGATTAACGTCAAAGGCTTGACATTCGTTCTTTAAATCAATGAACATCCTTATCCTTTTAGATAATAATTTACCTAATTTGTCACATTTAATTTTCTTTTAGGGTTTAACAATTGAATAATTCTTTAATTTTTAAGGATGACAAAAATCTCTGAATCGTAGACCAAATCCGTCTTTTTAATTTTTTTTTATTTAAAAAGGTGTATCCCACGTTTTCAACCTACCTAATCCTAAAGGTTGATGGCGACTCCAAACTTTTAAAATCTTTTTTAAAATTCAATTTTTAAATTTATTCTGATTTTCGCCACTTCAAAATAGTCGTCGCGACAAAACCATAAAAGGACTATCGATACTCCGATCCTGAGTATCGGTACTGCTACCTATTTTTACACAATGGAATCAATACTGATACAGGTACTGCATTAACAATATCAGTACTATTCTTGCAGTATCGATACTGCAGGTTGCAAAATTGATTTTTGACTCGATTAAAATCTGAAACCCCTCGTTAAATTATTTCTAGCTTAACAATTTATTCTTAAAAAAGAGTAAGGAGTAAAAATTGAGTTTTTGACCTTGAAAAGGATTTTAATATTTGAATGACTTAATCAAATACAAACTTGAAAATCAAATAAAAAATAATCTTCAAATTTCTTTAAGAATATTCATTTTTGGTATATTAAAATGCAAAGCATGTTCAACAATCTCCCCTTTTTTATATAACAAAACCTTTGAAAAAATATTTTAAGATTTTAAGATTTACTCCTCCTTACTCTAACATATATCCCCTTTTTATTAAATCAAAAAGATAAAAACAAGATATATATATAGGTTGTGAAGATTAAATTTGCCGAAAGGATTAGTCAACATAAATAATATTTTAAAGCAATAAACATGGTCATAACTTACAAAAATGTCTCAAATAGCAAATACCATAAATCATCAAAATGACATAAAAATCCATATATCCAAATCCATAAACAAAGAATGAAAAATCACCCAAAAACACTAAATCATCCAAATATCCAAACATGACAAAATGTAATACCAAACATGAGCAAAAAGAACAAGCGGTGCATATGAAGCGCGATCAGGCGTCCGACAGAGGAGGATCATAATCCGAAGATGGAGCGTGAAAAAAACAAAGTCACGAGAATGCTCGTTAATCTTATTTATTATGGTGTCGAATCGAGCATGAAAATCACGCCGAGAGTCCACATACATCACCTCTAATGACAACTGGGGAGCAACAATCTCAAAACCTTGAGTCCCCAAAGTTGTGAAGTGAGATTCTATGGTAGTAAACCACATGTCCATCATCTCCATGAAAGTATGAACCATATGTCCATCATCTCCATGAAAGTATGAAAGTAAGGAGGACAGGCACTCGTATACCCACCGCCGACTCGAGAAAAAATTGCCATGAACGTGATTCACTGTATCATCTACATCGCGTATCACATCATCAATGTGAGTCTGAGGTGCACTAGAGTAGGAACCAGCTACTTGCTTCCCTTTTCTTGTCCAAGTCGTGCCTTTCTTTTCCCATCTTGATTTATGAAGAGATTTAAGATCAATGTAAGAGGTTAAGGGAATAGCAGGATCTTAGTTAACGTTTATACCAGCTTCGAAAAAGAGGTGGCTAAGGATACAACCATAAACTAAGGTGTCAAACTTTTTGGATTGAAAGTTGTTTATAACGTCGAAAATCTCACCAAAGTACAATTTGGGTAAAATTGATTTTGCTTGTTCTTTTGGAAACAATGAATCCACCAAAAGTCAACGACATAAATGGAAGAGAACTTACCACCGGATGGTCGAAACCACCAAGTGATAATGAGACGCAAGAAACACTCATGAAAGTCGAATGTATTGACACTATGGCCGACGTATAGGGGATTTTCTTGATCTTTCTCATTATCTATACCTTTAACCTCTAGACCTAAGTCTCAGGCAATGGAAGTGGTATCGATATGAATGTATTGCCCCATGAGATATGAGCGAATACTAACAATGGCTCTTTAGGATTCATCAAAGACACAAATAACATTAGAATAAAAGATACGAATAAGTTGTTGAAAGACAATTGGTTTAAGCTTAAAAGTGTTGTCCAGTTTCAAAGATCGGAGTTGTGGAAGGTATTTGAATTTAAGTTCGGACATGGCTAGAAGGGAGCATATACGCATACCCTTAAGAGGTAAAGTCTCAAAGTATTGCGAGTACCTATGCCAAAGGTTTTGGCGACGAGGTTCATTAAAGCCAAAATTTTTGAATTGTTTGTACATTTTGGTGTAGATTCGAATTAGGAATAGGATTTGGAGGAGGGGCACGGGGTAGAGGATGGGTTCGAGAAGAACAAGCTCGTTTAGACATTTTTGGATATAAATCGGGATAAACAGAACATGCAAAATAAAGCAATGATATATATATATATATATATATACTAACATCAATTCCCAAAACTCACAATGAGTCCGCAATATTTACGGCCTTTAAGACTAAATAATAAAAAAATAAATGGGCTTAACAATTATTTACGCGCACATATATATATATATATATATATATATATATATATAAAATCAGTATGTATATAAATATATATAAGTTAAAATAGTATGTAAAAAACACACACACACATATATATATATTTTGCTCGGCATAAATATTTTATTAATGAAAAAGTCAAATACACCTTAAGCCTAAATTGTGTGCCTCATTAAAAACCTCCTTAAACCGATGTGGAGGAAAAGAGTACAACACAATCAAGCATTGAAACAATGTTCAAAACAAACACAATCTAACTCTACTAATCAGGTAAGCACCCTGCATCAACCTGCTGCAATCAACTTAACCTTGCAACACAAACAAAAAGATTACAAATTGTAACTAAAAACACAACTAAACCAATCAAAACCTTTTCACCCATGCAAACAAAGCAAAAGCAAATACCCCAAAAAACCACCCTAATCCACTAATACATGAAAGCATAACCAAAGATTAACTCCAAGTATTCAAAGCAACCTCAACCAAAACCTAAAGCAGCCACAAACCAGACCATGAAACGCCACAACATAAGATAACGAACAAAATGAAAATTCTGCAGAACCGTTCTCCCCACTTCCCACCACGCTTTAAATAATTCTTGTCTACAAAGACCCGCTTTTGCAAGTTGATCATCCATGGCATTCTTCGTTCTTGAGACATGAACAAATTGAACTCTCATAATCTTAATCACCAATCAATCAATATCCTCAAAAAGGTTCCACACATCCAAGGTCTAAGAGTGACAGTCGAGATCCAATTTAGGGCTACTTGAGAATCCAATTCAATGATCTATTCAGCTTTTCCGGTTCAGCTTGCCACCACAAATAACTCAAGAGTAATTTTTATCGCTAAAACTTCTTCATAGTCTGACCCTAATCCGGGGGCTGGCCCTGAGAACATCGCTATAACAATACCATCATATGTTCAGAGAACTCCCCCGTAGCCAGCAACGACTTCTTTGGCAGCCCCATCTATGTTGAAGTTTAATTGGCCGGCCATATGAGGAGGCCATCTCAAACTTGAATTCTCCCCTTTGCATTCAGTTGCTATGCAGTCCAATGAATTCTCCCACCAATTATTCTCATTCTCAATCACATATTCTTTTATTGCTTCGCACCAGATAATCGTCCGCATCTTAGCATAAAAAATCAGGTCCTTGAATTTTTTTCTCGAAAAGTTTATCATTTCTAGCTAGTCAAAAAATCCAAAGTGTGGAAGCAGCACAAATAAACCAAATCGATTTTGTCTCTCCTCACAATCGGACTTGAAAGCAGAATTCTAATAATTCATTTATTGTCCTTGGTTTCAACCAATTCACCCGCCACCAACGGCAAATACAATTCTAAATGAAGGATACAAACCAAAAATTCACAAATAAATGATTAGAGAATTCAACTTCAGACCCACACCACGAACACAAGCATTGAGACTCCTCTAAGGCCACCCCTCCTATTTAGTTTCAGCATCCAAATAAATTTTTTCACTTTTGGAGGCACCTTTAAATCCCAGATTTTATCAAAATTTAATTCCGGATCGTTTATTCCAAAGTTCACTATCAATTCTGATAGTATCTTAATCGAGAATGTTCCAGCTTTTTCATGGATCCAGATTAATCGATCCGGTATATTTGGATTAACTCTTGTTGACATGACCAATTTTTTAACCACTTCCAGACTCTGTTTTTCACGTTCCAGCAAGCATCTTGCAACTAAACCTCCCATACAACGTCCTGCCAGCTTCCATTGCCAACGATTTTTACTAGGACAACCAATTTTCTTTGAAGTTCCCTGTACAAACTGGGAAAGTCATCTCTAATAGGCTTAGATCCACAACAACAATCCTCTCATAACATCACTGTTTTA